CGTATTATACTAGGGTTGGGCAATATTGGCAAAAAAGTTAATCACGGTTAATTATAGTATTTAGCCGATAACGATTAATTTGACGATTAATCCCCTGGAGTACCTTATATCCTTATATCCTWGTCACATGACCAATTTATAGGGACAAAAATGGCTCTTCATAAAATTCTGTTCCAAATTATGTCAGAATTACAGACTTCGGGCTATACATCGAACTTTAAATTGTGTTGATAGATAAATAAATTACAGAACTTTTATTTAATGTTGGTCATATTTGAATCAGAGAGGAGCACCAAGTGGTTAGTCTGCCTGGTGGCATTAATCATATTAATCGTCAAGTGCCAAAAATTAATCGATTAATGTTTTTCTGACGATTAATTGCACACGATACGATTATGCCCAACCCTATATTATACTCRAGATCGTATTATACATGAATAAATACGGTAAGTCAAAGTTTATTTTTATAGCACCGTTCACAGACATACAGTAGAGGGTCACAAAGTGCTTTACAAAGGTGCAAAGATATACAGAAAAATAAAACGATAAAAACATCAGCAAGAACATAACATTTAAATTCTGTTTGGGTCGTATTTTTCAACCTGTTCAGTTTTTTCTGTTTCCTGTCAACCTTTCTGAACTATTACGCCACCGAATTTGCGACAGAACTGCCAAATAAGGTCTGGACTACAATTTGGTTGTCTTTATTCTCCTCTGGCTCCAACATGTAAGGCTGGATGGACAAGTCTTCCATTGTTGACATCTTTTAATTCATTTGTAAACAAAATATTTTGGTGCCACTCAATAGTCATAAACCCCTTTATCAAACTGGAATAGACCGGTTTTGAATGCTGGAGGGATTTATAGAGACCAAATGAAAACAAGTTGATCTGAAACACACTTCAGAAAAGAGGTRAAATGGGCTTGTAAAGTTACCATTAGGAAGAATTCAGACCAATGGATCACAGTTCCACTTTATATAGACCCCAACTGAATGATTCAAATGTGAAAAAGGATTTAAAAGCATGGCCTGTCTCCCTTTAACTGGGGTGCACAGATAAATCAGTCAACCAACTTATTGGCACAGATTTCCTTAATTGTGGGAGATCGGAGATCAGCAGAAATATCGGCTTCTCTACCTCCACAAATATCTGAAAAATCAGACACTGTCCCCTTTTGCTGTGCTGTAAGCACTACCTAATGTCCAGTTAAAATAGGTTTGTATTGTTTCAAGGATTCTATTCAAAGTTTTTCAATAAAATAAGATTGGAACATTGTTGTATGTGATCTTTATAACATGCGACAGTATCGGCTACTTAAAAAAATCTGTATCGGCCAAAATCAGAATCGGCAGGCCAGACCTTGTTTAAAGATCGGAAATAGGACAGAAAACTGCAATCGGTGCTAGGGTTGGGCAAAATCGTATCGTAATCGTCAGAAAAACTTTAATCGATTTGTTTATTTTTGGCATTTGACGATTAATACAATAAACGCCACCAGGCAGACCGACTGGAGATTTCCCCAGTCAGTCCACTCGGTGCTCCTCTCCATTTCAAATATGACGAACAATTTTAGAAAATTATTTTCTTTATCATAACTCCAGTTTTACTTGGTCACAACACAATTTAAAATTGATGTATAGCCTTTACAGTCTACTTTTGACACAATTTGGAACAGATTTTTACAGAGAGCAAATCTTTCCACTAGAGGGATTTAAATTGGTCATGCAGGTGTCCAGAGACTCTAGGGATTAATCGTCATATTAAATTGTTATCGGCTAAATACCACAATTAATCATGATAATTTTTTTTGCCAATATCACCCAACCCTAATCAGTGCACCCCTACTTTTAACTTGGGTTTCTCAAGACCGGAGATGTTATGAGACAACAGTATTCTTGTATTTATCAAACTGGTCAAGGGTTAACTTTTATTTTCCCAAAGTTATTTTGTTCAAATAGCTATCTACATCATGAAAAATATTATTTAATCATAACCAATTTGCAAAAACATATTTATAAAATCTGATTTTCTTGCTTTAAATCCCTATAGAAAACACCATTTATTGTGGATGGCTTTAATGGAACGGACTAAATGTTTTTGTCACTTTGACTTTGCACAGGGCAACAAGACCTATTGTAAATCTGGTTCATGATGAATTAGAATGAGGTTATAGATTTAAGTGACAAAGTGTTTGCCGCTGTTATTGGCTACCCTTCCTGTCCTCTACCTGACAGAATTACACCCTCAGCTCATTGAAGGTTGTACTAAACAGCCCTTGTGAAAGTCTCATGCAGCGCATTTCGTTGCTGTGACCTCTGCTTGATCTGACGCCTGTTAACAATGAACAGATGAGAGGCTCTTCTGTAATAAGAAGCCTCAGTTCTTTCCCATTCTTTGTCCATTTATTAAAATTTATATCATGATTTAGTTATATTATTTCTTTGTACATGTGACTGAAATCCCTCGAAGCACTTCTGCTGCGTGAAAGGAAGTTCTCCATCCTTTGAGCTTTTCATTATTCATTCTGAGATGCTGCATTCTGTCTTGTTTGCCTCTTAGCTGGAGCTGGCACTAAACTCAGAGCAAGCTGGTGAAAATAATCAAGCTTCGAGCTGTAAGGACAGCTGGAGGATCTCTAAGCCTCAGAGTTTTTCAAGGATCATGACAAAAGTTTATTTTCTTGACTTTAAAAAAAACTATATATCTACCTAGGAGCAGCTGACATGACAGCAGAGCAAGAGGAAGAAGGAACTGACAGCGAGACGAAATGAGTTTTAGATTTATAATCCTTCAGACGTGACCCCCATTTCCTGCAGCTTGACGTCCTGGGGAAATGTCACGTCAGACTTGTGTTGGTCAGATTGGACGGACAGGAGGGAGACGCACTGACTCACAACACAAACACACACGAGCATGCAGAAACTTCTGCTTATACCAGAATTTAAGTGAATTTTTACTGTTGCGTGCTAATTGTTGACTCGTTAACACTTCCTGTAGATGCCACATATCCATATTTATGTCCTTTTCCCATGTGATAATGGACACTAAAACCATGGCTTTTTCTTTTGCTRTAAATGTCATCACCATCTGAAGGATGCAGTTCGCTTCCAGGAAGATTAGAGGATTATGTAATTATATGTTAGAGGAGGATTATGACCTTTTTTAAAGTGTATGATTTTTACTTCACCAAGGTTGATCTATTATCTAAAAAGTCAACTTTGACTGCTTCAATCTAGTTTAGAAGTACCAATTTTTAACTTTTTATGACAAGTGCTATTGAATATCAGGATCAAGGTGGATTTGTCTAATTTAAAAGGTAGAACATAAAGCAAAACCCCAAAAGTGTTTGCATTATACATGTTTTTAGAAAAGTATGCAGATGACTGGGCAGGTTTTTTTTTTTTTTTGCCTCACCTGCCTGTCAGTCTGTGAGCAGCTGAAGAGTGGAAGGTGCTCGTTTTCTCTGCCCGTCTGTCTCATTGTGTTGGAGAAGTCTCTGACCTGCTGCAGACAAATGTGCAGCGATGAGGCGGAGAGCCCACTGAGCCTGCCGCACTGCTATCATTAACATGGAGAGTCACACTCTCCCCTTTGCACCAACTATAGTTTTCAATTTCTGCCTTGGGGAGAAGCAATGCTTCATTTCCACAGCCCACATTTACTCCTTACTCTTTTTAAAATTGCAGCAAACAGTCAAAAAACAATACATTTCAGCTGCATCTCATTCCAGTGATGCCTTAACTGTGTTGTCCCTGAGGAGTTCGTGGTATATATTGTTTATTTTTTCAAGCATAAGTGATCTATGCTGGTGTAGATTCTCAGTCAGCTACATGGTAATGCTAGCAAGTAGAATTGAAGCCAACTGGATCCTTTTTGTTTGTTTGTTCTTGAAGGAATTTTGCTTTCAATCCATCTTTGTCATTTAAAATTATTTTTCAGTTTTCCTTCAATTCATAAATGAATCTTTAAAAAAACAAACAAATGTGAAGTCTTCAAGAATCAGAAAGGAAATCGAGTTTCCTTCAATTTAATCAGCTAGGATTCTGTTCTGGGATTAGTGGCTGAGGGAACGCGGCGTTGTTAGCCTCACTAAGACACTTTCTTTTAATGGATTTTTTGGAGCTGCTGGTGTTCAGTGAAAATGATACTTTGTGGATCAGAGAGACTGGTGGAAAGTGGCTACWTGAGCAGAATCACCAGGCAGCAAGGTCTCTATAGACAGTAAGACCTGCTTTCTTATCCTTGATCTATTTCTACTCAAAAGAGCCAAATGTTGACAGAACACTGATTTGTTTAAAATTGCAGTTCTTTGCATAATTTTGGGCTCATTTTCATTCCAAAGTTCCTCCGTTTGATGAGTTTAAAGTAAACTGTAGCATTCTCTTTGTTTTTGTTCTGCCTAATCAAGAGTTTTTCAGGGTACATTTTAGATATTCTTTTTTTGTTCTTATAAGTGGGGTATTTTTTTTAGGCAGTTTGTATTTGGAAGTAGTTGCATGTTTGAGAAAGCACCTGCTGAACCTCATGTCCTAAAACCCAGTTGTTTTCCACACCTGGGGATTTGTTTTAAACTCTCCTCTCTCGTGCCTGAGGGGACTTGGAGGTGGTGATCGGTCGAGGTTGAATAAGCACTTGACTCAAAATGGGACCCAGTTTTTTTCCTCTGACATAGCACAAAAATCTCCAGAGATTTTGTTTTTATCTCGTTCATATCTCATTCTCCATCTGGCTTGTTTGTTTTGTAGCTGAAGCTTAAATCGTTGCCGCCTCATATCCGATCAAACGGATCTGTTGCACAAGCAATGCACTGTTAAATAAATACAATGGAATTTAGAGCTTTTCTGCCTGCGTAGTGTGACTCGAGGGTAACTAAAACTTTTATTAGAGATTACTGGTGCGAATTAGAGGCTAGGTGTATTTTTCTAACAGAATTTAGTGCCTTTTTTATCTGATATGAAGTTGAGGTTTCTGTTGCTGATCTGGATGTTTGTATTGCAGAGAGAGATGAAGGAGCAACTGGCTACCCTGCAGGACAGTGAGAGGGGACACACCGAGGCCCTGCAGCTCCTGCAGCGACAACTTACTGAGACCAAGGTACTGGACCTGTTTGTTTTGGTTTTTAAACAATCCACTCTTAGACCAAACCGGATCTGCGGCAAAAAAAAAATTTTTTTAAAGTGCCCTGCCATTTGTGACCATGTGTAACTTTAGTTGTGCGAAACGTATTTGATGTACAGTGAAAGGATTAGGATCCATAAATTGTCATTATCTTTATACAAACTGTTAACAGTTTTCAAATTTCTTAGGCTAATGACATTTAAAAGGGTTTTAATGTTTTTAAACAACAAGAAAGTTCAACTTTACTATGTTAGCTACTTTATTCACCGATCTAAAAGAGCCAATCTCTTTCACTGAGATGTAAAAACAAAAGTTTCCAGCTAGAAGTATTTGATGACAAATAGCTGATTTACCTAATGTGTTGTTAAGATTTCAAAAATATTACATCATTTAAGCATGATGGGGAAATAAAACAGTTGCTATTATTTATTTTCTGACATTTTAAAATGGAGTGTTTTCAGGTTTATCATGATAAAAAAAGCATTAATATTTAATAACTATACAGCAGCTGAGGACTGTGCAGAAATTTACTGAAGCAAGAAATCTTTGTGGTCTTTAAACGCATCTAAATGCTAACTGTAAAACACATTCAACAAGCTCTATAAACTGTCTCACAAAGCWGAAAATGATGCTTTCATTTAATTTGTGCCCTTTTGTTCTTCTTTTTCAAAGCGTTTGAATTGTCATTGACGTTCTAACATTTACTGATTTATTGAGTAGCTCTTTAAACAGTGAACCAGAAGCATCTGCTCAACCCCTCAAATACACACACTCATGCACAGACACACACAGTCTTCTGTCMTGTAGGGACACCAAACTATTGACCAGCCATGTATCGCTCAAGGCATTACAGCCATTAGCATTGCCTCCCGCACGATGTTGCCGCATCGCTCACCTTCTTGTTCTGCCTCCACTCTGACAGGAACAGTCAGCCCTGTCCGTTTTATCGACTCGCTCGAACTGCTAGATCTAGGTCTTTTAGCTCATTGGAAATGAGCTGATCTCATTAGTTTTGCATCCATTTGCACAGAGTGCTCTTCCTGGATGTGGGCCACRCTGTCACAGCATTGATCTTTGATGCATTAGGTAGCTGACGATGAAACGCCTCCCCGCTTTTTCTTCTTCATTTTGTTCAGCAGGTGGTTGCCTGAAGTGCCTGAAGTCAATTAATTTTTGGGTGGTGTTCTGTTGCCAAAACAAAACAAACAGCAGTGCTTCCAAAAACACGTAAAACCAGCATCAAGATTTTTATATCGGTCCCTTTTTTAATTTTTATTTGAGTCTTTGGCTTTTGCGTACAATTCAAATGCCCAGCAGGAAATTACTTGATAATGACACTCCCCTGAAAAATGGCCTGCCTGCTGTCTCTAAAGGCAGCAGACACCCGCTCGGTGCCATCACAGCCTGCTGGGCCAAAACGACAAACACGTCAGTGTGACTGATGGCACGTCTGCTCGGTCATCCTCCTATTTCACACGAGCAGTTTTCAGCTCTYAACTAGGCGGGACTGCGTCGCAGCCCCACCTCCGTGTCACAGAGCTTAGCGTTTGCTGAGAAATTGTTGTCACAAATTGGTTCCCACAGGAAGAATAAGAATATCTGTCTTTAAACTGTGATGAACAGCAGGAACATGGCTGCAGTTTGTGGGGAAAATGATTGAATTTTCTGCGAAGTATTAAAGCATGAATCACAGCTCCTAAATGCAGCCACTTTTAACGATTGACTTTGTGGGTGAGATGGAGCATGTTTGTGAAACCAAGACTGCTCACACTTCAAGGAGCTGTTTGTTGGTGAGACCATATCTTTTAAATATTTGAACAAATAGGAGTTTCTCGGCAAATATTGCAAAGAAAATATAAGAATGACTTGACTTTTCACATACATTCTCTTCTGTCTTCTTAATCCTAAGTTTTCTGCAAACTGCTCACTTTACTCATAAATGGTTTCAGCTTCTCTGCCCACTGCTCCTCCCACTCATGTTGTCCTCAGTGACTCTCTGCAGTGGTCAATGCTGTTGTTGTTGGTTTTTCTGTTGATGTACGTTTGCCTCTCCTCCATCCAGTAGGTTAAAATACTCTATTTTTGTGATGTGAAAATGTTTAAAGCTTGTATACTCTCCGCTCACAAGAGCCTCTTAAAATCAATACCTACTGTTGATGTAATATTAACACTGTTTAGAGTGGAGGCTCTTGAATTATTGAACTCTTTCCAAAGGTTAAGCTTTTGAGACTGAAATGCATAACAAACCTACCATCAGGAAGTCTGCATTACAGTCCTTTGAATAGTATTTATCCAGGTTTTTCTAAGAGTCGACATTTGCTTCCCCCTTTGCAGTCCTCAGCTAAGAGTCTGCGTGCAACCATCGGTGATGCGTTCGAGCGGCTCCACCGCTACCTCCGAGAGCGTCAGAAAAGCATGCTGGAGGAGCTGGAGATGGACACGGCCCGCAAGCTGACCGACATCGAGCACAAGATCCAGAGCTACAGCCAGCAGCTGCGCGATGTCAAGGAGGGCATCCAGATCCTGCAGGAGCGCCTGAACGAGACGGGCCGCCACGACTTCCTGGAGGGCGTAGCTGTTACCTCAGAGAGGTGCGTGACCCGCTATGTGAGGAAATGTCGCAGGAGGATTTAGTTTACTGAGAATCTACAGCATTTAAACTGATAGGACACCCTTCAGTATTCACAATGTGTGTTCAAAGTGGGCTGAGCTTCCTGACATTTTGGAGAAAGTACAGATTTGAGCAACAGCATGAACTAATCCTGAACAGATGGAGCTTTAGGCCTGAAATAAACCAGCTGTAATGTCTAATCAGGCGGGTGGCCTTAAGGAAAATTTGATTGAATGGTTTAATATTTTAAAGTGGATTAAATCTTTTCCGACCCACCAATGGTCAACTTTAAAGCATACCTAAATTTAGGGAATTATGTAATTAGTCAGGCTCAATTAAATTTTAATTATTTGACATAACTAGGCTTAGCAATTATGAAGTACCAGTAGTTCTTTTCTTTTTATTTTTCTCATTTTTGCCTGAGAGAAAATTAATTTTATAATTCAAAAGCTGTTCAGAATTGCGTGAGAGAGCACGTTTTTCATTCTTTTTATTCATCGTTAAAACGCTGCACTTTTMAAAAAAACAGCCTTAATGGAGCAAAGTCCTTAAAAGCAGTGCGGATGTGCAGAATTATGCATTTTTAAATACAGGAGGGAACCTGGTTTAGTTGAAAAGTATATTAGAGTTATTAGACACGCAGTACATGAACACAAAGCTTAAAGCCAATGAAACAAATCCAGTCTAAAGGGAGGAATGTAAAGTTGATCCTCAGCTGATCCCATGTGCTGATCACAGTGCATGGTTGGGTTTTTTTAAGAGAGGGTTGACTTAAAAGGCAAATCTGAACACCTCGGTTAGAGTTATTATTTTTTAGAAAAAGGGCACTTAGAGCCATGTTGGGTCCCATCATCATTTGTGTAAGAGATGATTAACACTAAACTTCAAAACATTTTTTTCTTTTCATTTTATACTTGGGGTAGGCATTACAGGATGTCTTACCAGTCATGTCATTTGAACAATCACGAGTAGGGCTGCCACAAACGATTATATTTTTTGATTAGTCGACTAATCGGATCATACGTTAATTGAATATAAAACATACAGCTTATCGCGCCAGAATGCAGCTGCTATTATATAAGCATCATTAGATTTTAGCTAAATGCTAACTAAAAATAATTGCTGTGGAAGGCAAGTTCTGCTCTGCAGATATTGCGTTGCACAGGTTTCTCTTTCATTTTCTTAAAATGATCCCACACTTTTGAGCTCCGTTGCTGGGTAGCCATGATACCAGAGCCTGTCTGTATAATATCTTGTGATGTCCACGGCCTAACCCGGTTCCACTACTGCGCATATGTGTCAAGGACAGAAAGGCAGATGTGGCAGTGGAAGGTGTCAAAGCAGTTTGGAGAGAAAAACAAAGTAAAGAACAAAAGAAAAAAACAAAAAAAATGACTAATCGATTATTAAATTAGTCATAGACTATTTTAATAATCGATTAGCAGTTGAATAATCGTGGCAGCCCTAATCACAAGTGATAACCTTTTTTTTTTTCAGAGTTTTACCTCTGAAAACCGTAATGTCTTCAACCGAAATGGAAAGTCTATCAAGGTTCCATTTGCTTTGCTCAGCCCAAGAATTTAAAACAGTACAGTACTGTTATGACAAACAGCGCTCTCAGGACAGACTTGTTCTACTAGTTTGTAAGCTTGTATTGATGCATGACAAACAGATGGAGTATTTGATAAAGGTGTGTGCCGCCTGATCGAACTGACCAATTGACTAATCTACCTTTTAAACAAACCCAGTTTGCTAAAAGAGACACACAGAGTCCTGATCCACTTCATCTGGGCCTTAGATGATGGTGTTTAGTGGCAACACCCAAAGATTCTGAGGTCTAATAAAGCAGTGGTTCCTAAACTTTTCAGTTTTTGACCCACAAAATGTCAGAGACCTGTGCCCCCAGCTGTTGTCGGTTGATAAACATTGTTTTCATGTCAAATAAACAAGAGCACAGTAACATTATTTATTTGGCTATTTTTGTTCATTTTAAGTACACTACTCTTATTATTTTGTAACAGCAAAGGCAAAAAAAATCTTGTCATTTTTTRGTGTAATTACCAGTAATTCAGAAAATATTCTCAGGACCCCACCTTGATGTTTCGGGACCCCACTGCGGGTCCTGGCCCCAACTTTGGGAACCACTGTACTAAAGGATGTCCCATTWTTCTAACAAACGTAAATATGCTTAAATCACAATAGAATACATAATATTAGCAGTCTTTACATTTTAACTCCTGGGCTTAGCAAAGGAGATGCTATCTTTTATTGGCACGTGCCAGCTTGTGCCTTGCCCCTCACTCCAAACTAGTTCAGTCAAGATTCAAAAATATACCTTCATTAAAAATTAAGTGTGTTCTATTGTGTCCTGGTCACCCAACAGCCAGCAGCAGAGTTGGTGCAGAACAGGACGGCAGATGATTTTGAAGAACACTAAATAGTTTGAAGACGAGGGTTTTTACTTAATGTTTAACTCATCACTTAAACTAAATTGAAAATAGCGGCAGTGGGTTTAAAATTCATTAAAACGCAAGTCGTTTATAGACAATAACAGAACATTTTAAATAAGCAAACCTGAGTAATTTTTTGAAGCACAAACATTTAGACCAGAACGAGAGGAGACAGTATTTATGGTAGTAAAAACAAATAAAAGGCTCGATCCAATTTACAGTTTTATTGTTCTGTTTTTCTGCCCCAGGGTTAAAGGAAAGATACATGAGACCAATCTGACGTATGAAGATTTCCCAACATCCAAATATATGGGGCCCTTACAGTACACAATATGGAAATCACTCTTCCAGGACATTTCACCAGGTAAGTCAGCATTCCTAAAATGCAAATTACAACACTCACACACGTGGGTTGTGTGGTGGGTGCCAAGATGTTCTGATGTCAGCTAAAAAGACATGGTTCTTTTTGTCTCTTAAAGAGGCAATATTATGTGTTTCTCAGGCATACATTTAAATACCATACCATAATAACCTTTAGTTTGTTATTAAATGCTGTTTTATGTTTAAATAGAAAATAAACTTATCTTCTCATCACTTTCTCTTAATGCCTTGAAATTGGCCTCTGTCTCTTTAAGAACCAACTTCCGCATCTGTCCCGGCCGTGTGTGTGTGTGTGTGTGTGTGTGTGTGTGTG